CGAGCCAAGTGTCCCGAAGAGGCCATTTATTATCGACGCTATTGCTACCAACCAGTTGATATGTCCCTCACCTGGGATGCGGCCGAGGTCAGTGTGCTACACAAAGTTTGGACAGCCCCATCAAGGAGACCAGGATTGCCCTTAACTGAGATTGGCTCTCATAGCCGAATAGTGCAAAGATCTTTAGGCTCCCTAACCTTATACTTCAGTGAATGAGGAAGGTATCCGTCTGAACTGTTTCCACTTATCATCGTATTTCTCAGGATTTTGTTACTCTCTTCTTCTGTTACTCTCTTCTTATTGTGTTACTCTCTTCTGTTACTCTGTAGTTCTGTTACTCTCTTATTGTGTTACTCTTACTTTGTTCTGTTATTCTGTAACTTTGTTACTCTCTTCTTCTGTTACTCTCTTATTGTGTTACTCTTACTTTGTTCTGTTATTCTGTAACTTTGTTACTCTCTTCTTCTGTTACTCTCTTATTGTGTTACTCTTACCTTGTTCTGTTATTCTGTAACTCTGTTACTCTCTTATACTGTTACTCTCTTATTGTGTTATTTTCTTCTTCTGTAGTTCTGTTACTCTCCTATTCTGTTGCTCTGTAGTTCTTTTAGTCTCTTATTGTGTTACTCTTACTTTGTTCTGTTATTCTGTAACTTTGTTACTCTCTTCTTCTGTTACACTCTTATTGTGTTACTCTTACATTGTTCTGTTATTCTGTAACTCTATTACTCTCTTATACTGCTACTTTGCAGTTCTGTTACTCTCTTACTGTGTTAATCTCTTACTCTGTTATTCTGTTACTCTGGAATTTGGTTTCTCTCTTATTCGGTTTCTCTCTTATTCTGCACTTCTTTCTCTTCACGTCTGCAGATCGAGTGCCAGCACCTGAGGCCTGGAGCCCACCTGGCCACTTTTCGGACCGCTGCCGAGGAAAGAATCGTCTCCTCCCACATCAGGCGCTCCAGCACCACCACCGATGCCTGGATTGGGATGCATGCTGTGCGGATGCCCAAGGTAGGCCTGTCTTTGGTCTCCAGTCCCTCTTCTCTCACAGACCGCCTGATACTCCAGCCACCCCTTGACATTCCTCTTTCCTTCCAATCCTCTGTGGGAAGTCCCTGAGGATTTTGTGCCAGTGGGACCTGTGGGCGGCCCCCAAGGCCAATATATGGGGGTGGCACCGATTGCGGAGAAGGACGTTCCTTGAAGGGAATGAGAATGAGTCCACAATGGGGTTAAGAGACCCTTGGAGGTCTTCTAGTCCAACCCCCTGCTCAGGCAGGAGACCCTATACCATTCTGAAAAGATATCTGTCCGATCTCTTCTTGAAAACCTCCAGTGATGGGGGCCCTACAACTCCTGGAGGCTTTCCTCCCCTGGATTGGGTGTCTTCTGTCACTTGATTGCATGGAGTCCTGACAATCCCAATCTGTGTGAGACTACGAGGAAGAGAGAACAACGCCTACACTAGGTTTCCTGAACAAACTGCCTGTGGTTTATTGCTTGGATTTATGATTGACACCTTATTTCCCCCCCTGCCACCCTCCGGAGAAGCTGATCTGATCGACACTTGAGGGTTCCAGATGTCTGGAGGGCAAACAGGATAAAACAAATACTTTTCTCCCTGAATGTCCCTTTTCCCGCCCCAATAGAAACTCACCTGGGAATGGATCGATGGGACCACCTACACCCCAGGA